AATGTTGTTTTGTTTTTGAAGAAGGGGTTGAGAAGGGAAGGGGGAGACACCTTAAACTACTGCAGCAGTGTTTATGAAGCTACTAATATAAAAGTGTTTCCACATTTAAAAGTAGCGGAACTTGGTTCACACTCTCTGTACCCCAGATATATTTAAAATAAAGTTAAATGTGTAACCGTTTGTTTATAAAACAGCAGGTTGGAGCACAATTAAATAAGTCGAACCTTGTTGAAAGTTAAACAGTTCCAGTGCTGTAGACAGGAAGACTGGTATTATTCAGTAGCTGAGGATACCAGATTCGTCTACTTTATGTTTCTACAGTTCAAAGTGTGTGGGAAAAAGGGTGTAAATAAAACATTCAGACTGTGATAATATGAAACATAAAAATTATTTAGAATCTTTGGTGAAATGTTTTTAGGGATATTTTAAACACGATAGTTAATATCGTTATTTTCTAAAACCAAGATTTATTATTGTTTAACCTAAAGGAGGTTTCATGTAACATAATGGGCGTCGATGAAATATCTGAAACCCTTTCCAAAGTTTAACAAACAGTGTGACTTATAAATATATATATAAAGGAGCTAGGTTCTACCGATTGAGTTATTAATCTGTTTGAAATGGGTTACTGAGAGAGCAAGTTCGTTATTCGGTTAATGAGTATCAGTGCTTGAGAATATAACCTAATAAACACAGGCAAAGTTGTTATTTCAACAATAATTTTAAAGAACACATAACCTAAAGATTTAATACGTTTCTAAAAATATCTCCAATTTAATCAAAAAGTTTTTTTTTGTTATTTGACATGATTGTTCACCATGTAGCGTGATTATTTACATGCACTTGTTTAAACATTTCAATTGATGTTTAAATATAATAATTATTTACCATTATATTAACTTCATTTATTACAAACCGCCAAACTTCAAATCCATGGTCCACCATCTTAACCTCTGGCCAAAATAATATAGCTATATTAACCATTTTTAGATGTTGTTTCAGGTTATAGTCGATATAATTTATTTGCAAAAAATAGCAAGATTAGTTGGATTAGAATGAACTAGACAATATTAGTTCAGCTTTATTAATGTGAATAGGGATATTTTTATTATTAGCTCTTTAATCCCTCTCGATGGTGTTTTTATCCACTTTTGTGTCTGTAATGAAATCGGATATAGTTATATATTTTAAAACAATATTTCTTTTGATTATTTAGAAGATGATTGTGTTATGGCGCCTTGCAAAAAATATAGTTCGAAAAACCTTATTTGGCTGCCTAACCTTGATTAAAACCTAAGGTTTCAAGACATCATGATGGACTTTGTTTTATAATTCATTATTATATTAACTATATCCTTATTAATTTATTACCGACTGATCCATTAAAATGTTTAAAAGTTATTACTTCCCTTAACCCTCCCATGTTTTCAACTTATAACCGATATGTCACCTTCAGTTGTTAAAAGTTGGTTCAACTGATATCAGATGTTGAAAGGAATTGTTTTATATTTGGTGATTTTAGTAAACATCATTTTGTGTGTAGATTTGATGGCCAAGCAGAGGAAGTGTCTTTTAGTTCTTATACATTATGAATCTCCTTCTAAATATGATATTAGAACTGGAATTCTTAGTTCTTTGGACTTCTCATCAACTCTAGTTGTACTTAAAACTTCTATTGAAGTCCTTAAGGCCTCATCGTTTTGGAACTTTCTTTCCTGTCTTCAATCCTTAACTTCTATTATCTCGAATAAAGAAAGTTTTGGAGTTATCTTTAAAGAGGTTGCTCTCTCCACTTGACTTTCTTCTTGTCACAGATATTTTCACCTCAAAGTTCCTTGGTGGGAATTCAATCTTTTAGTTGCATGAGGACAAAGTGCATGTCAATCTATAAGTCACCACAAATGTCAAAAATATATTTATTGAGAAGGGTTGTTAGAGATACTTTTGTTCATCTTTAAACAAGGGCACATATCTATCAATTGTTTTGAAGGAGTTTCGAGTCTTTTATAATGTACATTTTTTCCTTAGTAATTAGATCTAGAAATATGTAAAAAATATGCTTTATACACTTTATGAGAGGAACAATGCTTATGCTACCTACTTCACTTCTTGTAGCTTATACTTATTGGTTGACTACTATGCTGCTTCACCCACTGAATATAACTCTCTGAGGCCCTTACAGTGTTATCAACAAACCTTTTTTCTGATTTTGAGCAACAGTGAACACTTCATCTGAAACGTTATACTTCTGGATCTCATGATATAACTTATTGTATGTTGGCAAGTATTGATATCTGAACGGTTTTTAATAAATGTTTATAATGACTTAGATTCCTAGTAAGTGTTAAAACCCTAGTCTGAGAATTGAAGGGTGTTTATTAGATGCTCTCCTTCGAGTCTATCACTTCAAAATTATGAATAGCTAGAACAGATAGTCGTCAAGTAGCTATTTGCAAAATTTCACATGCAAATAACCTATGCGAAGCCAAGCATAAGTACAACGAGTGATACAGTGTGTTCAACAATATCAACTTTATAAGGGTCATGAGAAGGAACAGTGTTATAAGATATGTAACCACTCCTAAAAATTCAACCGCTTCTGACATGCAGAAGTTAAACAGGGTATATTTTGTTTTCAAATCCAGTACATCCCCAAGTACTGTATTTTTGTAACCAGAGGAATTTTGATACCTTTGATATGAAGATGAATAATAGTTACCAGTTTTTTATGAGTAATTGCCATACATTGAAATTGAAATACTGAAAAGAGAATCTCCAAGCATTCACACAACATTGTGCACAATCCAAGGTATCCTGAGGAGAAGAACAAATGAAAGACTAGTTACGACCCAGTTTCTAAATATCATGAGCATTTATGGTTCCATGTTTAGCTGTCTGTAAAATGTTTTATGA